AGGCAATGGCTTTATATCTCTGTCTAACAACATTTATAAGGCTGTTTAGCAAGGAAAAAAAAAAAAGAAAAAAGCCTTCTATGTTTGCACACATTTGACTGTTCTGTCATCAGTGAGATCATTTATGAATTACAAAGATTTGCCTACAGTGGAAAATTGTGTGCAGTAAGTGAGGGTGCAAATGCAAAGTGATGTTAAATAACTGTATATTAAATGAAAGTTTCATTTCTCCTGTTTCAAAATAAATTAGATATTGCATTCTAAAAACAGGGCTCTGTCAACTCCCACCCTTACACTAAGTGTAACTACTTTAGGAAAGCTGTAGTATGGGAGACTTTCTCCTTCTCTTAAGAGGTTTATTTAAGCCCAGACTATGTGACAGAGCCAGCGTACTATAAACTCGTGTAATTGTATACGTACATGGTCCCTGAGATTAGATGCACATCTGTAGCACTTCAGGGAACTTCAGAAAGTAGGTCCAAACCATTACTTTTTGCCTGACCCTTAATATTTATTGAAGCAGTTTTCTAAAATGGCTTTGGGATACTTTTTTGGCCTGGACAAACCACCGAGCAGTAAAGGATTAGGTACAGATTTGCAAAAGCACATAGGTCTATACATTTCTTCATGTTACCAGTGACGTTGGAATGAGGCCATTCTGTCTTGTCCCATTAGAGGGCTGTTGAATCCTGGCTTTGAACAGTCTCCTTCCTACACCTCTATGTCAGCAATTAAGTCCATAAGAGAGAGGAAATTTCAAAATATTATTCTTTTGCGGTTTTTTTGACGCCGGCCTTAGGTGTTTCCCCATTCATTCCTGTGGACACTGAATTTCAATGACACTGAACCCTCCCTGCTTGCTGTCCCAGGACATGGGGTGTTCAGACAGACATCATGACTTCCATTATGTCCTCGCTTTCAGGCAGTCTTTAGCAGAGCAGCATTGAAAGACCTTTGTGAACATGAGCGTGCTTATCAGCAAGTTCCTAAGCGCCTCAAAACAAGCCGTATGTACAGCTGGATCAGTCGGGGTTTGGCATGTGGCTGTTTTAGCCTCAGGACTATTCACACCATCTAACCATAGGCATTTATCTAGAAGTCTTGTAGTCATAAAGGAGGAGAATTAGGGGAACCTCCAAAGTCCTTATACTTTGTGCTCTGAATCATGTGTAAGTTAGATTCCCAAGGGAGATCGGAAATGCTTTTTCGTACCATTTTCCCAAGATAACTTTACAGGTGCAAGAGAAGGTTGAGCTTTGGCACAGCTAGGAGTCATTACTAGGTGCTGTTCTCTGCACGAAGCAGAAAGGACAAGTTCATGTTTGCTCTACCACTTGAGGCTGAACTAGGAGAAAAAATGAGGCACAGCATGGGGATCTGTGAGGAGGATAAGTTAAATTAAGCAAGTGGGATGAGCAACGGTGGAGTCTGTCTCTCTTGGTACTGGAAGACTTAACGTAATGACCATACAGTTCCACTTTTAATAATGTAGGATAAAAGTCTTCTTGAATGCCAGCTTGATCTCTGCTGTGTGATATTGATTTTTACCTGCCTGCTCATAAGACCCAGAAAGGTTGAACAGGAGATCTTTAAGTTTGATAAACTGATGTTTACAGATCACAAACCTTCTCTGTAACCACGGTTTACCCCAGGAGATGTAAGTGGAAACTCTAGGTCCTCCTTCAAACAAACACTGTCGTTTCACATTAATTCTCTGTGTTTAGACAACACTTCAAATGTGAAAAGCCTCCGAGGGCAAGGATTGCCTTCTCACGCCCTCCCCTTAATCCACTCTTGGTGTTGCCTACAGAGGAGTTCAGCTAACTGGTATTGTTTAGACCTGCTGCAAAGCGTATCAAAATACACTAAAGCTCAACTTCAGTGCAGTTTAGCTGCCTTGGTATGCCAGTCCGTGGAAACCATCGTGCAGAGACCCTTTCTGGGGAATGTGAGGGGAGATGCAGTCTGCACACTGCAATTACTGTTCAAGCCTGCTCTGTGTTTGGAAGCAATCAAGATAATTGCTTGTAACATAGGAGGCCATCAAAGTACTTTTTTGTTCAATGATAACCAAGGAATATGTTGGGTATCAGTTAGTAGTAGAAGATATAAAAATTTTCTGGTTTTTAAAATGTTTTAAGAACCGTAGCAGAATTGTCTGGAGATCTCTGGTTGCTGGTAATGACTGAAAAACTGTGCAGTGTGTGGTAAATGCCAAAGACTAGAAAAGTGTTATCGCTTTGCATTTTATCTTCAGTGTTTCAATCCTTCTTAGGTAAAACAAGAGAAGTGGTTGATAAAAGACAGGCAAAAAGGTCAGTCGGCATGATCTTACATGGTAGCATTTGCCAAACAAACCTCATACCAGTCTTTAAGGATATGACAGGTTTGGTGGAAAAAGGCAACTGCACATGTCTAACGTATATTTTGAAAAGCAGCAGTAAAATAAACTAAACTAAAAACATGTAGTGCCAGCACAGCACATACTAAGCAAATGAAGATCTGTCTGTCAGACCTCAAGTAGCAGTAGTTAACTGGAATCTTGACTGAGCCAGCATCAGCTCCATACAAGGACTGGTGCTTTTCAGCATTTTCATAATGGATTTGGAAATAAAAACATGAAGTTACTGCTGGTGATCAATTTTCTGGATAGTTTAGAGACTGACGAAAAGACAGGATGATCATGTATACTTCATTTGTGAAGTGGAGCCCTTTTCAGGCCCAGTGGCCTTTAATTGTGCAAAATGCAAGGTTGTATTTATGAAAAAGGGGAATTTGGATGATCCCTGGCGGCTCAGGAGAGCACTAACTTTGAAAGTAAAGACTGAAAAAAATCCAGGACACGTAGACTGCAAGCTGCCCTCGGCATTGAGGAGTGATAGGACTGAAGGACCTTGTGTGGTCTCTGGATGTATAAAACACGAGTTCTGGTAAACCGGCACAGAGGAAGGAAACTTCTTTCACGTTTTGGATATATAAAATATTATATCAGAAAGAGCCTAAACCCATTCAGAGTGTGAGCTGCACATGCAGTTAAATCAGAAATTACTGTAGTTTCCAGCCAAGAGTAAAAGTTGAAAGAGCGTCTGTACTCCATTGCAAGTATTAGATTTTTGCTACTGTGCAGTAGCAATAAAACAGACTTTGTATCAAAAATCAAAGCACATTCATCTCTTCAAGTCAGGTCAGTTGCCATTCTTCCAGTTGTTATGAGACTTCAAAAGGGCAGGAGTGACAAGTCAGAGCAGTGCAGGGAACTATGACAGCATCCGCAGTTCCTGGCTGCAGGAGGCAGTGACTCCCTGCACCAGATGCCCGAATGAAGCCTGCTATCTTCTGTACAGAACAAAAAATGAGCATTCGTAATTTTTTTCTGGTGTTTTAGATGTAAACTGGTTGTGGCCTTCACCCAGGAGCAAAATAAGACCCTAGCAGTAAATAATTTAGGAATGATTTAAGGCCAAGCTTTATGCCCTGTGATTACTCGAATAATGCTGCCAACCCCCAGGCTCACGTAGGAGGCTTATTTGGAAAGTCTCAGAAGACCAAACTACACCCTTCACTCCAGAACATTAACAAAGGAGGACACCAGCTGAGGTTTACACTGCAGAATAAAGGACATAATCCAGTACATCTTGTTAGCAGCCTTAATCAGCAGGGCTGCCCTGCAGTCCCATTGAAACCTTGAGGGCCGCATCGTCACTGCCCTGCAGCAAACCCCCTTCTCCAAGGCTGTCTCTCCACAAAGAGTGCCAAGTCACAGATGAGAGTGACACCTCAAATCCCTTTATTTCATAGGGGTTTATTGGTATTGATTTTAGCACAGGCCAGAGATTATTTTTCTAGTTATTTTCTCTGCTTAAATGGGAGAAAGTTCTTGTAAGGGAGTTATTCAGAGTTCTTAAATAAGAATGAATGCATTTTCTGTATTTTCCAAAACCTGAAATGATGCTGATCTGTATTCTGGTTTGCTCTGTTTGGATGACTGCAAGTACAGGGGATCAAAAGAGAGCTAATGTGATGTACCTAACGCTCAATGGACACCTTCCTGAATAGACCTACAACTGACTTATGTTTGTATGTTATGTAATAACCTTTCCTGGGTATCCTTGCCACTGTGCATCATCAACTGCATTTTCTGGGAGAAGTGTTTATACTGCATTCGTATGTGTATGTTCTTCATAAGTGGCTTTTTTATCTGTATTGACAGGTCTCACCAACTCATAATCGTCCTGCAGGGAGTGGAGAGCAGAAACAGTCCCACACAGTTCTTTCGTCACCGCCTAGAGTAGCATTTGGCTTGAGGTATGGGACCATTAGCTCCTGCTGGCAGACCAGCAGCCTCAGAACCTGGAGGGCGTTTAGTAAATAAGATGTCAGTGGCCAAAGAAACAGAAAAACCACACCACCAACAGTGATAGCAGTTGTCAGGCAGTTTCTGACTAGAAGGCATCAGAGTAAGTGTTCTGGACCTATTTTGCTTTTCATTACCATCAAAGGTAAAGTTTGGGGATAAAGTTAGTTGTTGCGAAATGAAAAAGGCGGAGCGTGAAGGAAAACAGCAGGCCTTATGTCAGGCGTGTCTGAAGTTCAGATGCAGATCTAAATTAACCTGTAAAGCAGCGCTGCCCAGATTCACTACTGCAGCTGAAGCATCCTGAACTTCATTACGTGGCTTTGCTTTTCCCCTGAAAGGCTGGCCTGTCCTGTGTGTTCATCACCATTCAGTCAGTATGGTGTTTGGCTTCAATTGAATTATAAGAAACTATATCTTACAATAAATTAGATCAAAGCAAAGTTTTTTATGTCCCATCTTTCTAGATGTAAGCTACATTCACTTCCATTAAAGGTAGCTGATGTTTGACCAGAGTCTGCTTTAACAGTGTTCAAACAGTTATGTTAAAACATCAAACTATGACACTGAATTTCTTACAGTAAAGAAACCTTTAATTTCTTGCAATCCTAAAGGTGATGACTGTACCCTAAAACGAGACAAAAGGAAAATCTCATACTTTTCATTTTCTTCATGACTGTCAGATCATTGCATCTGCTACAAACCAAACTTAGGATCTTCCCAATTCATGGATTGTCCCCATGAACGAATGTTCAGTAATCAAAAATTCACAGGTATGCAAGAGAGGAATCACCAGGCAATTCCCAAGTGTGCCACACAGCATGTAATACAGGCGTAAACAATTCTGTCCATACAGTTATTTGATTTAAAGACACCAGGACAGATGGCACTGCTGTAGCGAGTGTTGGGTCACTTCTTGTAGCATTGCTCCTCAGGTTTGCTGGCTTGCTACATATTGAATAAAAAAAGTTCCAGTTTAACAGTCACTTTGATCATCTTCTAAACTAGTGAACTTTTGAGTGTGGTTGTAAGATGGAAAACATGACAATCATTATAGCTTTAAAGGAGATACTGCCTGACTTCAGGGACAACAGAGAAGGAGCACACGTGAACGTGCAGCAAGTGAGAGCAAGGGTTAAAACTTGTGTTCAGTCACTTTGCTGTTTTTCAGTCAGTGAGCTCACAGCAAACTGTGCAGGAAGGACTGGCCAGCGTAGGAGCTGGTAGCTTTTCCCCTCTTTTGCATAGCTGCTACCTGCTGATGGTCAAGGTCTGCTGCTCAGAGCTATGCAAAATATTTGTACACAGCTCTACAGCAAAGAGGACTTCTGCCTGACATGACCTGGACTGTGTTGGAGAGTAGCTGTAACTATCCGTTACAGCTTGGCATTTAACGTGGCTAAAGTAACATTTTTCTAGACCCGGTTTCGTCACTGGCTTAAGTCAGGGCTGGGATCAGGCCTGGAGCAGAGCAACAGGCTCAGCAGCTGCTGCAGAGGCTGTAGAAGCGAGGCAAGGAGGAGGACTGGTCCCTCGGAGCTGTGGAGTCACAGCCGTATGTCTGTCTGCTGCGTCAGCCCACAGTTGACTCGAAAACAACCCAAATCCCTTTGAAACGCCGAGGGTTCTCTGCCTGCTGCACTCCATTGAGATTGTCATCCTGATCTTAGGGTGGTAAAGCAAAGCTACGAAAGCATCTCGTTAACAAGCTTCCCTTTCTCTCTGACAGGAAGCCTAGAGGGGAGGGGAAAAAGTGTCGGAAGGTCTATGGGATGGAGAACAGAGATATGTGGTGTACTGCCTGCCGATGGAAGAAGGCCTGCCAAAGGTTCATCGACTAAAGATTAAAATTATGCAGAGGATTTGGGGATGGGGGAGGACAACAGCAGAACCAGATTGCTGCAGCTGCACTGTATCACTTCCCATTTTCCCTCTGGTGATGTGGTGTTGAGGGGTTTTGGGGTGGTTTTTTGGGGTGGTTTGTGTTTTTTTTTTTAAAGAGCTTTGTATTTCAAAGTGAAGCACTTGTAGCCAAGGAGAAGCACTAATCAAACCTGTGTGGAGCAATAGAGCAAAAAAAAAAAACAAAAACAAAAAAAGCAAAACCAAGAACATACAACAAAATTCTGTCTTACTAAATATGGAAACCAGAGCAGCTATTAGTGTTTTTCTGTAAAAGAAAGGAAAAAGTTAATTTTTTTGCTAACTCTGTGAGCTACCTGCTCCTTAGGATCATTTTTAACCATTTCAGTCTCTGTGCTGTGAACGTCTGTATTTGCTAAACTGAACAATTATTCTGTTCCTGAAACGAAGATCTCTTTTTTTGAAAGCTTTCTAATAAACACTTCAGAGTTGTATAAGCTACAGTTTACTCAACAGAAGCTGTACTAAGACTGGAGACTGCTAAATAATTCTCCTGATATGAATGATCATGATTATATTATATTTTTGGAAAGGGGGTGTGGGGAGGAGTTGGGATTTTCATTTGTTTGTTTATAGGAGAAAAGCAAAGTCTGAATTTGCAAGAAGGACAAGCAGTGCTCCTGGAAGATTTTTAAACCAGGCACAGACCAGTGGAGTGGAACAAAGTAATTTAAGTACCAAATTGGATTTTGATCCTCTAGAGGAAGAAAAGCAGCAACGGAAAGTCACCAGCAGATACTGTCACAACCAGAAGTTGAGGGAAGAAATCTAGTGATGCTTGATTGAAACCTGTAAGAATATAATGGGGGTCCGGTAGCTTTTCTTACCATTCTCCCATTTCTGAGAGAGGATGAACAGTTGGACCAGCATGTCTGTTGCTGCAGGAGGCCTATGAAGAACTGGTAAATGCAGCCACTCGGATTATATGTAATACATATTCAGGGACACGATCCAGCCCAGCAGTTCTGCTCTTGCTTCCTTTTCTCTTATTTGAGAGGTTGTTGTTAAGATAATGGTTTGCTCAGCTTTTTTTTTCCCTATTAAACTTGCTAAGATTTATTAGATGCAAAAAATTGATAGAGAAAAGAAAATACCCCCTTTCCATGACATCATCTCAGAAAAAGAAGTAAGACAGCAAAGGAGCAACGTATTCATGGTAAAAGTCCATTTCTTATCTCATTTTGATATATGAATTAACAAGTTCCTCTGCTTGTAGTACTTGGATAGATTTGGGTACTTGAGTTTCTCTGTCCATTAGAAAGTATACACTGGAATGTGGCAAGCTGGTGTTCTGTCTCAACTTGTATTGAATTACCATTAATTAACAATTATTTCAATGCAAAAATAAAGTAAGGATTTCCTAGGATATGAATGTATATGGTTAAACAATACTTGCCTGTTAAAGAAAACAAGACACCTTAAAAAATAATCAAAGACAGAAGCAAAATTTTGTCTATTAATAGAGGTGTGGTGGCCCACAGATTCCTGTTCTGGTTTTTTTCCATACCGTTTGAAATTAGACCAGATGTTTTCCTCTTTTTTTTTTTTTTTTTTTTAAATTGTCTAAACTGGCTAATTCTCACTGAAATAAGCGGACTCTAAGTATCTAAACAGCATTCTAAAATCTGGTACAAAGTTCACTCGACAGCTTTATTAAGCGTGCATTGCTGCTTATGCCTATGTAAAAGCACGAAATAACAACGCAGTTGTTTAGAATATACACTATGAATTCAGTAAAGTAGTACTGAGAAGTAACGTTTGTAATAGGAGCTACCGAAGATTATCATCTGATTTTCTTTGAACAAGTTAATTGGGCAATCAGATGTCTAATTTGAGCATGCTATTTCTGCAGTTGTTTACAAATTGTGTAATTTACATGCACAAGTGGCAAGATATGCTTGCATGCACGCAATTACTTGATTTTTTGCTCAATTGTGTTCTCTAAGTCATTTAAAAAAAAAAAGACTGAAATCTAGTAAGACCCTGAAATATATACCACCTGTGTATATAAGTATTTATATATATATCAAAACCTACATATCATATAGTTTTATATATATATAAATCTGAGATCAACAGGGAGGAGAAAGATTGTTTTCTCTATAAACATAAAAACGGAGACACTAAAGTTCAGTGGCTATACATAGCCACTGTATTCTCTTCTTTCCTCTTAGTAAAATGTGGGTCATGGGTTTTCTTTGGATGTTGTATTTTTTCAAATTGCTTTGTAAAATACCTCGTAGTAATTTACAGCCATTTCATCCTCAGCTTGCTGATGATGTATTTACTTTGGTAGAACTTAGAAAATTTGGGACTTTTCCAAGATACTCCTGCTAATTTGCCCCCCCATTTTTACAAGCACTCCAGGACTAATTATAAAGTGTTCCATAATTAATTTGACTATTGTTAGACTGCCAGTATTTGCCTATATATTTGTTGTTCCCCTCCTTTTATATTTTCCCTTTTTGCTTTGGAGGATTTTTTTGAAAATAATGTGTCAGATTGTATATTGTTTCTATAATGTCATGGCATTGTGAGCACCTTTCCCGAGGGCACTTTACGAATTATTGTAATAAGATTATTCTTTATAAATTACTGCACGGAAGAATGGTTTTGTCGCCAGACCAGATTGCCCTCTGGTACAAATCTGATATGGATATTGATATGGATATAGGCACAAAACCCACAAATCATCAAAACAGAGTAGAAAGTTGGTGTTAACATAACAGAGGACAGAAGACACTTGATAAATCCTGCCAGGACGAAGCTAAATTACCAGTATTTTTACACAACCTTTAATCAGCAGTTTATATTAAATCAGTTTTGCATCTTCTGGCTGTGGCATTTTGATTCAAAAGCAGGCACCCCTCGAGTTACCATGTCTCAACCATGGCCAGCGATAGCGAGACGACATGGCCATCTGGACCTGCATGAAGCCTTCACCAGTCACTTCGTGTTTTGAACTCAGATTACTTCATGTCACATGAGCACTTCAGCACCCATCGAGATCCCCTTCACTCTCCTGACAGGCCCAGCAAGAACAGAAATGTCAGCAAAGCCTTCCCCATGCTGGCAGTACCAAGCATAATCCGGAATAACCTCTTCTGTTTTTCAGTCTCTTGCCTCTGTGTTGCTTTAAGCTGCATCGCTGTCCTCCTCACATCCGATTCATCTTACACTTATGCGCCGGCCTCTCCGAAAGAGTCAGATTTCTTTATTTTCCCAAGGAAGACATAGCCTGAATGCTGTGGTCATTTATCATCATCGGTACATGCCGTTTCCCCTATTTTCGGTTTCTCTGTGGGAGGCAGGTCATTGTCTCTGACCTCCCAGAGAAGTCAGAAAGAACGGCCTGAATGCATCTCGCAGTCTCTGTGCGCTACAGGGATTTGGACTTGGGTTCATTTATGTCAAGAGCCAGAACTTCCCCCTGAGATACAAAACCAGATCTATTTTATTGGGTTTAACCACTTATTAGTACTGATGCTGGTAAGGGCAATTGCCAGCATCGGTATTGGAGTGGAGATCAACTGTGTAGATCCCAAATATTTTTCTTCAGGAGTTTTGTTGCTATAAAAAAGCTATTTCCACTTCCCTCAAAAGATCTGGAAAAGGAGATAATTTTAGAAGTGGGAAATTTTAATGGCAATTTAAAAAAATGTGACTGTGCTCCAACTGCTCCTACGTAAAGCTATTGGACATTACAGACTCAGATCATCTTAGTCATAAAATGGTTTCCTCCCGAAACAATGTGCCTGATTCTCTAGTGCCTTGCACAAATGTCACAGGATACACAAGATGCAAAGTGAGCAAAAACTCTTCCATTCCGATTTGCAGGTTTACACTTACTTCTAACCAAAACCAGTTGTCACCTAGCAGGTATCTGTTGTCATGTAAGCCAGACCTGTAAGCCCTGCTTGTGTGACTAGGCTGAGCTGAATGCCTATCTGTTGAATTACTTTTTCCAACTCATTAGCCTGGTATGAACGTTAACTATCTAACGATCTGCAGATTCCTTGCACCTGTTTGCTATCACAACATCACTTTCTTTATTTCTTCTCCCCTTCATTTTTTTAAGGTAATGAGTAGGTAGGCAACACAACAGGAGGCAAAGCTCTAGCCAAAAGTTCCTGTAGAACCTGCATGTAAGAATGGATTCCAGCTCCATGCAATATCCCAGATGTCCTCGTCACTGACTTTTTTTTTTTTTCTTCATTCATTCTGATCGAGTGAGTAGGGATGGTTTTCTGTTTCTTGCTATGGTCTGGGACCAGCTAGAGTGGCCCTGCCAAGAATTCAGGGCAATTGCTGTAAGTGTGGCAACACAAAGCGGTTTGTTTCTTCCCCTGCCTGTAAACATGTTGAAACGCCATCTCAGAAACAGGGCATGAAATTAGAAGCTTGCTCGCCATGTGCAGAGACGTAAGGTTACCAGTGAGACTTGTTTCTGTTGGTTCAAACTTCAGTCATCTGTTGGAGAAAGTTGTGCTGCATCTTGTCTTAGAAATATTTTGATAAGGAAACATTTGTAAAGCCTCATCTTGGTCTTATATTTACTCTTTATTGAATCTTCCTGTAAGGTGGTAGCGCTGGAACTGAGACCTGTATGGAGTATGGGATTTAACCTGCATTTGACAGGATTTTTCTGGTAGATAAATGAGCTGTTGCAAAGCATCATAGTGTAGATTTTGTTCTAGTATAAGCTCAGGAGAGTTTTACGGCACCTTTAGCAAAATAGTTATATAGTAAGTCATGAGCAAAAATTAGTCAAGCTGAGGGTTTAAATACAATCTGTATCTGCTAGGTGTAAACATCTTTGTCTGCAACTATGTGGAGCTTGAAAAGCTTCAAGATTGAAAAAAAGCCAAAGTACACTTATCATTGACAGTGCCCACTTGAACTGTTTTTTCCATCTTAGACTACAGTGCTTTCGCATTGACCATGCTCTCACTTCTATCCAAATGCAAGGTTAAAGAAGATGTGTATCATCTCCCCCTTGGAACTTTTTGAGTTTATTCCTCAATATGAAAAACACTCAAGTTCTTTGTGCTTCACGCAGACCATTTTTAATAGCAATCCAGAAAGACCCTGCAAACAGAAGTCAGTCTGTTTCTGATGGCAGCAAGCAAAATAAAATACGGTTTGCTCCTATGCTTGCTCATACTTACAGCAAGAGTTCATGTGGCCAGTCAGGTGATGAA